GCACTATCATTAAAAATTAAAAAATATTTTAGTGCTTTAATTTAATATATACCAAAAGGGAAAATATATGCAACAAAAATGTCAACTTTTATTTCAAGAAATTTTTTGCAATTTTAGTATAATAATTTACGAAATCTATACTTTTACCATTCAAATTATAACTAATATTAAACATACATCAATTTTTTTTAAATTTGAAAAAAATTGTATTAAGAATTGAGAGCAACGGCCAAGTCTTAATCATAGTACACATATTTATTTTTGATACCCAATACATTTTTTCCAAATCTACTCACATACTTATTATACAGAATATTTTTACTAAGGCTTCCCAAACATACAATGGAAATTATTTAGTGACTTAAAAACTTATATATCCATATAATTCATAAAAAATGTTGCCCTTAATGTACTTCTAAATAAATAAGAGTTTTAAAACATATTTTATTTTAAATGAGTGACTTCTAAAACAAAAGGATTGGAAAATGTCAAGATTTTTTTGTCTTAAATCAGGAAATATAAGATATAACACGCTATTTAATTTTTGCTGGTTGCTTAATTATAACAATATATATTAATATAATACACAAAATTAATAGATATCTTTTTGCCACTTTTTTGTAACTACTTAATATTAAAATTTTTTTTCAATGAACATGCAAAATTAGAGCCTAATATATTGTTTATTAAAATAAATTATTTGTATAAAGTTTAATAATTTATAACATAAAATTTATGCGATCTAATTTTAAAATTGAAAATAACACTTAAATAAACACAATTATAATACATATAAAGAGTTTAAAAAAATATATATAATGAAAACATATACATTATTAAATAATTTATACATTACTAATTAAAAATGATTTTTAAAAAAAATACTGTGTTACTTTTTTTGTTATTTATTGTGGAGACAAAATTATGTTACGGAAACAATAACTGGGAGAAAATTGAAATATCATTAGAAACAGCTTTAAAATTAGACACTGGATTCTCATATGATAGTTATGATGAGGTACGGAATTTGTCATTTTCAGATATCAAAAATGAAATGTTGTGTGGAAATCAACATCTAGAAAATATCATGTTTAGGAAAAAAACGGATATAATATTTTTAGACCTTTTTTGTAGTAATATGTTTACTTTTATGGAATATACTGAACTTTTTTTTCGCCTCATTCATGATCCACCAGGAAATACTTATGATATAAATACAATGATTATAAATGAATCGATTACAAAACAATTTTTAGTTACAATGATAAATTATTATATTGATGATAAACTAACCATTTTTTGGATAATGCATTTATATACTTATTATGTTCAATTGTTTAGTAATGATGTATATCGATATAAACACAATATTAAAAAAGCTATCGAACAAGTTATCGAAAATTTATATCTTGTAAGTAAAAAAATATGTCGAAACAATAATAATTATGATGTTGGTTATTTTAATGGAGAATATTATATACTCCTCACAAATCTAATAAAAACTATGTATCAAAGACAAGAAATCAACAAAATTGATTTAGAAAATGTAGAAGAACAAGAAAATTCGTTCTCACTCAGAAATATTTACATGTGTGATATAATTGAAGACAAAGATTTATTGAGAACTATTATAATGGATTTTGGTGAACAGAGTGAAGATATTTTTGAGACTATTTACAATAACATATATAAAGAATATACAACGGCAAAGAATTATTTTTGGTTTGATAAATGGATACAACAAATAGGAATTTACCAACAAAAAATCTTAAACGTTTTTAAAACTGTTTTAATGCATTTAATGAGAAATAAATTGATGTATATTTCTTTATTTTTAAAAAATAAACAAAAAGTAGATGCAATATATGGCCTAAAAAAATTGCAATGTTTAATTGAGAATACCATTATATTATTTGATGGTCAAGAAGCTCGCGATGTTGAAAAAGTATTCAAATCTTTTGATCAAGGCGATTACCATAATGATTTGATATTAAATATTGAAAATATAATAAATAAAATAAAACCTAACTCTTTTGAATTAATTTCAAATGATTTAATAAGTGATCCAGGCTACCAATTAAGTGTTATTGTTAAAGCTGAAAAGTATATCACAAATTATAAATTAAATAAAGATGATTTAAAATTTATTGAATATTTATACACAATCTCAGATTCTAAAGCAATGAATAATCATTTAGTAAATATATTTTTTTTTACTAAGTTAATCAATAAAACATTTCAAAGTGTTAATATAAAAAGTATTTTATCATATTTAAAATTTACTGAAACTTTAAAAATATTCATTTTCGAAGATGAAAATAACGATGAAAATTACAATGAAATAAGGTTATTAGATTTGTGAAAATAATTTTTAATCAGTTTTTTGAATCATCATAATTTATTTCAAATCAATACTAAAATTATTTTAAATTAAATTGGAGTTTATTTTTAATGGTGTTTTAATGGTCGTTTTAATAATATAACTTACATTATGATATCACTTATAATAATAGCATAGAATATGTTTTTTGAATATGTATTTCACATATTATAAATATTTTTATCATCAAAACAGAGTTCCCTTCTTAAAATACTAAATAACCAAATGATATCTGGACAAAATCTTCAGCTTTCATAGTTATCCTATAGATTGCAAGGACACTCTCCTTTGATCATAATAAGCCATTTGACATGCTAAAGCCAGTTCTTTTTTAGCATCAAAATACAAAAAATCTTAGAAACTCTACTCGAGAATCATTTTTTCTGTGATTTAGCCCCTAAATTTTTTTTCAAATTAATNCACTCGAGAATCATTTTTTTTGTAAATTAGCCCCAACAATTTTTTTTGAATTTAAAATTTTTTTCAAATTA